TGATCCTCCACATCTGGAATCCGCGTAGGCGAAGTAACCAGTTGTGTCAGACCATATGCCAAGGCAAAGTCATGAACAGATCTCCCCGCATGATCAGTTAAACGTGAACCGAGCCATTCAGCGTGGTGGGCGTTAAAATCGCCAAGGATCACGATCTCTGCGGATGGGACCTGTTGTAGCAAGGAATCTGTAGCCATTTGGACGTGGTCGATGAGTCGGTCTGTTTCGGCATTACCGCTATGGAACCTATAGAGGCACCCGTAGACGCACGGATGGTCGTCGCTGTCTACGCGTAGCCAAAGGATGGACAGGTCCGAAACTTCAAGACTGCCGAGGCGTCGAGAACAGATGTCCTCTCTGATATACACGCAAACTCCAGCTCGAGGCACAAAGGAGTGCTCCAATTTGTACCCCGGGTAGGAGAGATACGAAATATCAGCCGGAGAGGAAACCTGCGTCTCGGTCAGAAAGAGCAAGGCCGGCTTCGCTGTCGCGAGATGGTAGTGGACGGCGTTTAGGTTCGAGTGAAGTCCCCGAGTGAAGAGTGAAGAATTTTGCCCCCCCCCCCCCCCAGAATACGCGGGGCAGCCTGAGCACCCACGCTCAGGATTGGAATAACATGGTCGTGGATGCTCAGCGAGGGATTCTCCAGGGGTACTGGTACCCTCCTGGGGTAGTCTTTCGTGTAATTACGCTACCATGTTGATGGGGGGGGGGGGGAGGATTGGGCCTCCGGCCACCTGCACTCACCAGACGAAACGCAGAAGCAGAGCTTCTACTTCACGCCGGTATTCTGTGAGGTCGTGGTACCAACCCGGCTCGAGCCGCCATACGTGCAACAGCAAAAACTGCTGCGTGGCTCTACCACTGTAAACGTTTGTGTTTACAAATCACAACGTAATTTTAGGCGACCTTTAAAGCAAACTCCTTCATTTTGTACATAACTGCCTATTATTTAACTTAGTATGTTGATGATCAGTAAATGGAATTAATTTTTTTTTATAGAATAAGGGTTAGAAACGAGCACAGCCCACTTGATGGTAAGTGGATGCTGTGGCCCACAGACATCTACACTCATCCTCAATTAAGACTCAAAGTGCAAATGTCACGAGGACTGAGATGGAATGCATCGTTTCCAGTAAATAGGGTCTCCGGTTCTCCTCTACACTCAACATACAAAACACAGCAGTGTTAAGTTGCTATTTTCCTCTGTTATTCTGTGAGAACGTGGTCCTATCCCGGTCGAGTCGAACCATTCGTGCTGCAACCACAATATATAGCTGCAGCATGGCGCTACTACGTAAAACTCGACTAGGTCTAAAATCTCGCGAGATTACATTCCCTAAACAGCACGTATAATAGACTTATGTCCACAGCTGGACATGGGCATCTCCTGCTGTAAGGAGTCGTCACGCTTTGCAGACGATTTGACAATCTCAGAACCTATAAACATTTTTATTAATATAAGTAGTCTAATCGCGTAAAGAAATTAAGAGTCCTCTGTGCAAGTGTGCAATGTATTCACAGTGGGGTATGCACTTGATTTTTTAGTACTGTGCTCTCCGCAGTCACACACATTTCGAAATACATAGGTATGTTTTAAATTTGTTGTCTTGCTCCGCTACGAGTTATCGATCCACTATTAATTTTACGAGTATGTGAGGTATTCATTTTTTAAATGTAATATAGGTAACGTAAGACACATCCTTCGTACGTTTCGTATGAAGATCTGCCTTCATCTGGTCACTGTGTACCTAATTTTCTAATTTTTGGCGATCTGATGGGTCGGGGGCGTTGCTAGACCAATGACTCACTATTTTCTAAACGCGAATGGATTCTAGTGAAATTTCACCAAACGTAAATATTGCAAGATACTTTCACAGGGTCTATGCAGTGGCGGATTAAAGGAGGAGCTAGGTGGGGCTATAGCCCCGGGCCCCACCTTGGGACCACCCCGCGGTCTCGAATCAAAAATATTTTTTTTAAACCTGTTTCAAAGAATTTTGAATAAAAGTAAAATGTTTTCCAAAGAAAATAAGTTAACCAAAATTACCTACGATTTTTAATTTGCCATCGGTTAACTATTTGTTGGCCAACGACGGGTGTAAATCTGTGATGAAATAACGAAATAAGTGGTATTATTAGCGAATGGGTTGGGAAAAACTGTGGCTAACGCTGCAGCAGTTGGTCACGGTGGCGATCGGTTGGGGGAAATTTCTACCAGAGAATGTTAATGTTTATCGCGCAATAATTTGAGTTTTTTTTTTATAGGATAAGGGTGACAAACGAGCACACAGTCCACCTGATGGTAAGTGGTTGCTGCGGCCCATATACATCTACATCTATCCTCTATACAAATCAAAATGTAGATGCGTTGTCACCCGTGAGGACTAAGATGGAATGCCTCATTTCCAGTAAAAATTGGCCTCCGGCCACCTGCACTCACCAAGCGAAACGCAGAGGTAAACCTCTACTTCACACTGGTTTTCTGTGAGGTCGTGGTACCCCCCCGGTTCGAGCTGGCCCATCCGTGCGACAGCAAAAACTGCCGCGTGGCTCTACCACTGTCTATTGAGTTATTCATTCATGCCAAAGGTTGTGATTTTCTTTTTTACTTATATAATTTAAATAAATTTATATGAAAGATTATTTAATAACAATTCTAAAGAAAACAAAAAGAGAAAAATTAAATCTGTTATACTATTTTTTTTTTCACTTGGTTATCGCTATAAATAACTGAAAATGCGGTTAAAAAGAAAACTATAAAAATATCGTATCAATGTTGTAAAGAGTACGAGGACCTCATCAGATCGCCAGTAAACGAGGCGGGGACAAAAAAGGGCTAGATAGTGTAATGACAGAGAGATTGATACAGATATCTCTGTGTGCCTAGTGCGAGATGTTGTTTTTACGCACTCGATACCGAGAAAGTTAACTACAATTTGTATGGAATAAAATCAGCGACAACTAGTGGCAAAAAAGTGCTCAAAAAGGCAGTCTTACAGTCTCTTATTTATCTAATACTATATACGAAGAATTTATAGTTAATGGCTGCAAAAGTATTAAAACGTATTATTGCTGAAATACACAGTGCAAAATATTGGGGACTCGTCGTAGATTCTACCCCAGATATATCCCACATCGATCAGTTGTCAGTCATTTTCCGATACTACTTAGATGGTCACGTTTATGAACGTTTTTTCTGCTTTTTACAAATAAAAAATCATAAAGGTAGGTCGCTTAGTAATGACGTATTAGATTTACTATAGGAGCACGGTATCGACATTAAAAATTGCAGAGCTCAGACCTATGACAACGCTTCCAATATGTCCGGTAAATATATTGGACTTCAAGCTTGTATTAGAGAAAAAAATGAATTAGCGTTTTACGTGCCTTGCGCTGGCCATTCTCTAAACTTAGTGGGAGAATGTAGTGTCGACGTATGTCTTGATGCTACAAATTTCTTCGGAATTTTACAGCGGCTATATGCATTTTTAGGACATCAACACATCGGTGGGACATCTTAATCACTGAGAATTCTAAAATAACGAGCTTATCGAAAACGAAATCGTGGAGGTATTTGTAGGGCTCTAGAAATTTTAGCGAATGACGAAGAACAAAAACGCGAAACTCGGAAACAGTTATATGTTATATGTTTCAATAAAGCTGAAGCTTTATTGAAACATATAAAAAAACTTGAAAATGTTTTTATGGCGATTCTATGGAATAATGTTTTAAGCCGCTTTAACGCGACTAGTCAATACCTTCAAAAATTGATACAGATTTAATTTCTGCAAACATGCTACTTTCATTAGTGGATTTTGTGGCAGATTTGCGAGATACATTTTCTGACATTGAAAATTAAGCCAAACAACTAAGTAATTTTGTGGATCAAGAATATTCTGATGCAAACAAACGAAAGGTCACAAGAATGCTAACCGACAAAGAATCACAAGCTAGTAGCTTAAGCCCGGCTGATAAATTCCGAGTAAACACATTTTATGTGATTATAGACAAATTAGTTGCCGAGTTGCAGAAACGGAGTGAAGCATATGATCGCATCATTCAACTATTTGGCTTTCTCACACAATTATTATTTATAGAGACAGATATATTAGAAAAAAAAAAGTAGCAAATCGTAAAGGTTTACTCTGACGATTTAGAAAAAGATTTATCTGTTAAATTGAAACAATTTATACCATGTTTAAAACGGCAGCTTAAGGGGTTTTTTTTCCAATCGTACAGAAAAAAACACAAGTGCAAATGATGAAATCTTGTGTCCCTTAAAAGTTTTAAATTGGCTTGTAGATTTAGACATGATACAAGATTTTCCGTATACCTATATTGTTTACAGGATACTACTTACACTTCCAATCGCAAATTGCGAATCAGAAAGATCATTTTCAGTTTTGAAAATAATAAAAAACATGTCATGATCAACGATGTCAGACGACAGACTATCATATTTAACAAGATTAAGCATCGAAGTCGACTTATTGAGATCAATTGACTTCCGATGACTTAATTCATGATTTTGCTAGAGCAAAATCAAGAAAAAAATGTTTTTAATCGAATTTTAAAATAATTGTTTGTACTTCATTGTATCTATAAATAATAGTTTATAATAAATAATAAATAATTTATAATAAATTAATAAATGATTTTTTTTTATATTTGATAAATATAAAAAAAGTTCCTTTTTCGCTGTCCTTAAGTGGGCCCCTTCTCAATTTTAGCCCCGGGCCCCATAAAGTTCAAATCCGCCCCTGGGTCTATGGATCGTAATAAAAGAAATAACGTCAATAAACGCTGGAGTAAGAATTTACTATTGTAATCTCTTATTGTTTAGTCGGTAATTTTATTACTAAATAAATATATTATAGAAAAGTAGTATTACATTTTTAATATTTAAAATAAAGGATAATAAAGATGAAAAATAGAGAAGAAGTAGTTATGAAAAGGAGGATATTGCGAATAGGTGGTTACCCTTGAACCTTGATTTAATATTTCTTTTTAATATTCATGTTAAGATTAGACGCCTTTTTGTGGGTACCATTGTTAGCTTTTGCACGACATTGTTCGCGCCTTTTCATACGACGGAAATACCATCCGAAATCATTTGTACTTTTCTCCTCCAACAATTCTTTTTCAAATTTTTTTCTGTATTCGTTTCGAAGAAATGCTTTTTTTTCATACCAGTTGCTTAAGTTACCCTGTTCTTCAGTCATATTTTCATTTTGTACATTCTGTTGCGAGGTGTTTTTTTCTTCGTTTGAATTTGCTTTATAATTGTCTAAAATATCAGTTTTATATTTGCTTTCTTTAAAACTTCTAGCTTTGGCTGATTTTTCCAAAATCTTGTTAAACTTGCCGCTTTCTTCAAATGTTACACGGGAATCGTCATAATCTTTAGTTTGACTATTTATCTCAAATTGTTCATACTTATACTTCCTCTTTTGCTTTTTACGCCATTTATCATTCTTCTTATTATTTTTGCATTTGCGGCAATTATACCTGTCATCTTTTTTAATTTCATCCTCACTTACAATTTGTTCAATATTATGTTCATGGTCCTTCTTCATTCTTTTCCTAATAATATGTTGATTGAATTCACTAATTGATGTTGTATCTATTTCTCGCTTTTGTACATTTTTACTCTTTTCTCCAGTTTTAAGAGAATCTGCATATGATATCTTTCTGTCTATGTGCAATTCGGTTTCATTACTGTTTGGTAAATCAATAGGTAGAGGTTGTGTTGTTGGTTTAATTAAATCATCTTTCTTCTCTAGGAGTGGTAATTTAGTGTGTTCTACAGAAAAAACTTTGTTTTCACGTACTTTATTTAGCTTTGTAGCTTTTCCACGACGTTTAACATTTTTCAAGTGCTTTTCCTCATATTTAATTCTTCTTGCAATTTCATCATCCAACCAACTTTTATTTTGTTGATATACATTCTTAAGTTTGTCAATTTCAATTATAAGTTCTTTTTCAAATAAGGGTTCTACTAAATGACTTTCAAGAAACTTTTCATCATCATTATTTTTGGTATCTAGACATTTTGTAAGTTTGTTTGCATTTTTACTGTTTAAGGGTTCTTCGAAAACTTTTTTGCATCTTTGTTGTTTCAATGGCATCTTTTGCTGTTGCATTTGATAGGTACTTAGTAATGTGAGCTCTTTAAGTTTGTTTCTTAAATAAGCATTTTCTTCTTGCAACTTGTACAGATTAGATAAAATTTTATTTACTGTTGGTGTAGAATGCACAGTGCAATCATTTTTAGCACCCCACATATGGCCAATTGCCACACCTGCTGCTGTTATAACACTACCCAGCATAATAATATTAAGAACAGTGCTCAATCTCTTATTTCTTCGGTGAACATAAGTTTTGAGTTTGCCATTACTGTCCATAAGAAAATCATCATCAGCCCTTACAGATTCATCAAAGTTAACATCTTCATCAATATCTGTAACATGTGGAGAAGACGAAACATATGTGGGAATTTGTTTTTCAGTTGGATATCCTTCTGACTCGTTACATTCTTGTATATTTTCACGAATTATGGGGATATCATGTTCGCTATCGCTAATGATTGATATACCATCAGTGTCTTCATCCTTTTCGTTATTTATATTTGAGTGTCTGAAATAAAAAATAAAATAAATAGTAAGCTTGCAATGAGGGCTAATAATTTTCTGCTCACCAGATGTTGCTAGTTGACACTGAGGTAAAGTTTTTTATTACACAATGTCATTTAATTGAGAAGTTAGTTTTTAATAAAAGTTTATCAGTTTCTAGAGTATTAAATTAATACACAAAACAACGCCTCAGTGGTTTGCTCTTTAATATTTTGCACATTTTAACTTATATTACTTAATTTTTCTACTTTTATGAATATCTGTGGTTATGTTTATTTAGTTTTAATCTTATTAATATAAAATATGGCTAAGAATATAGAAACAAGCATTAACAACAAACGAAGGACAAATTAACTTCCCCACTATAAAATCTGTCAAATATTATACCTCACTTTTAAGTGGTGCCCTAGTGGCAGAAAAAGTTGTGGATGCCCTCATTCATAATTGCAAGCTTACTATTTATTATATCAGTCTTGGTGTTTAAAGGGTGACAACTAAGGTAAGTTGTATGTTTGAAAATTAAAAATATTTGAGGTCATGTGGAAAACATCAAATTTATAGAATAGAAGTACTCTTTACAAATGGCTGGCTAAATAGACAAGTAACTAATAAGTAGTTAACCAATGTGTTGAAAATAGGCCTTGACATGGGGTTTCGAATTTACGCTATATTGCTATGTATGGAAGTCAATCTACAAAAACACTAATTCAATCGTGCTATATATATAAACTCCCATAGCAGCATTCACATCAAATGTACAGAGTAGAAGTACTCTTCACAAATGACTGGCTAAATAGACAGGTAATTAATGAGTGGTTAACCAATGTGTCCAAAATAGGCCTTGACGTATAGTTTTGAATTTATGCTATATTGCAATGTGCAAAAATTAATCTGCAAAAACACTTAGCCATTCATGGTATCTATCTATCTATCTCTCTTTTACTCTCTTTTAAAATGTATCAGTATATTAGAGTGTATCACTGGATCATATGATCTCTGTTTGTGTCTAAATTATATAATCATTTTAGAGCTATTCTATTCTCATGTATAGTGTTATATCCATTTTATTAATATCAATGGCAGATACTCCATCAAATACATAATATTGTAACTAGCAAATAATTATTAATTAGGTACTTAATAAATTTTGCATATTATCTTACATAACAAAACACCATGAATTTGTAGATTTGGTATATAAATGGGCTACACTCAGCATAATTTCGTAGTACTATCCATAAAGCTGGTTTTCAGTGTGGCCTCTAATGAGTAAGGTACGGACAAGTTATGCAACAATAAGTTTACTTTATATGATTGGTCATACAGTTCACATCCGTTCTGTTATATCTATCAACTAAACTATCACTGAAATATGGATACTATAAATACAAAAACGATGGACTATTACTTAAACTGTCAATAGAGCTAATGCATTAAATTAACTTGAGTGACAAACAAAATTACTGTCCACTTGATGGTAAGTGGCTACTGCAGCCCATGTACACTTGCAACTAACTTTAAATAGAGAAGGCTAGAGATGTGTTGAAACTTTTAGTAGTACAATGGAATGCCTCACAGCCTATATTCACTAATAATAACCTACAGACCGGAACACAGCAGTGCAAGCACTGCTATTTGACGGCAGAAATAGGTAAGTGTATCACCTACCCTAACGGACTCCTGAGCAGAGAAGTTATCCTACTAACAAGTAGTGACATGTAACATTTGATTAAAGAAATAGTAACATGTAAAGTTTGTCCTTGTGCAATTTATGTTTGTAAACTGCCTCCACGACACAGGAGATAATCCTAGTGTGGGGGTAACGTTTTAAAAAAAATAAGTATAATCTCTACACATTTTAGAGATGCGTTATTCGCACGTCTCATAGGTTTACACACCTTTCATTCGGATCATCTGGAAAATCCGGTGCATCTTGCGCATATATAGGCGAATGCTCCAGAATGGTCCAACTTTCACCAGAATCAGAATCATTGTGATCAGAACTATGTCCATCCATTTTGTAATATCTAAAAGTTCATGCGATATTAAAACGAGAAAAAAGGTGCAAAATAAAACGCAATATTATCACTACGTACGTACGATGCGCACTGAAAATTTTACAATTCTAAATAAAGGCTTGTAGGGTAACTACTGGAATTTTCAATAAAAATGTTATGGATTAACTAAACAAAATATTGTATGAAGTTGTATTTATTTTTGTTTCTTTTTGCGTCGAAAGACTGTCACGGATGATTTTTTGTTTTTATTTTTCTTTTTTATCGTGTTTTGACATCAACCAAACCAAAATAATCTGTCAATGTCAAATCAATGTCAATCTCACAAACCACAGAGAAAAAAAATTACTTACTTACTTACTTACTTATCTTCACGCACAATCCCTGACGGGGTAGCCAGAGAGAACAGATCGCCAAGTGTCACGATCCTTACAAACCTCTTTCGCTTCTTTCAGATTCATTATCTTCTTCATGCATGCACGTCTAGGTATCCGAGTACTTTTGACCCTACCCTCTTCGAGCAATTTGCTCACATGGTCTTCGAAAGTTAGTCTCGGTCTACCTCGACACCTTTTAATATTAACTTTCGCGCTATATATTTTCTTCACCATTCATTAAAGCAGGGTTGTGTCATGTCTTCCTGGCTGTTCATACTGTATCTCGACAGCTGTTTACAGAAGCTGAAAGATAGCTGTTTGGGTGTGAAATTGGGTGACATTAAAGTAAATTGTCTGTTGTATGCTGATGATGCAGTACTTATAGCACCATCAGAGGCAGAACTGCAGGCATTAGTCACGTGTATGAAAGAGGAATGTGAAACTAAAGGTCTCCGTTTGAATGCTAATAAAACTAAGGTACTGGTATTTGAAAGGGACGAAGAGAGAACGAAGTGTGAAATATGGGTAAATCAGGAATGTCTAGAACAGGTAAATGAAATTGTATACTTGGGGAGTGCTTTTAGCCGGGATGGAAGATGTGATTTAGATGTGGACAGGCGTGTCGCTGCCGGGAACAAAGTCAATGGTGCCCTGACTGCGTTAGTCAAAAGGCAAGGCGTAGCGAAGAGTGCACGCCTTGCAATACATAACGCAGTGTTGGTACCGACTTTGTTATATGGCAGCGAAACCTGGGTATGCCAGAAGAAGCATAAAAGTAAGTTGAATGCAGTGGAGATGCGATCTCTTCGTAAAATGTGCGGCGTTACCATGGCCGACCGAAAGCGAAACGAAGAGATTCGCAATATGGCAGGTTTGAAAGATGACCTTATCACAAAAATTGATAAGGGCGTGCTTCGGTGGTTTGGGCACGTTGAGCGAATGAGTGAAAAAAAATTAACTGCCATTATCAGCATTCTTAGCCCCGCGACATACATACGGAATTCCGTTTCGGGATTCCGTTTCGGGATTCCGTTTCGATATTCCGATTCGAAATCCCGAACGCAGCAAGTCCATATAAAATCTATGACCCGCCACACACGTACGGTAGTTTTCCGTTCGAAATTTTGCGGGCAAAACGGGATTCCGTATGTGTGTGGCCGACCCGTTCAGAATTCCGAATGTATTGTGCCGGCCTTAGAGTTGTGCGAAAGTATACGAAATAGAACTGAAATTGACGTAGAAATATAATTTTGCCTTTCGTGTATGTGGAAGGATGTTGGATTTGGTTTAGTACTGTCAGGTTAATCGAAACCGGATTGCTCGCGTACCTACCTATTTACTGCGAAATTTACGTCGCTTCGAAAATAAACACAAGAGACATGTAAAAAGTCACTGATACTCTAGAATCGTGTATCCTGAGAGTAAAAAAAGGCCTAGCAACTGCCAGAACTTTAGTATAATATATATTGTATAACCACTTAACCGTTCGCCCCGCACGAGTTATTCTCGCCTGACCTGTCCGCGCATTAAATGTGACTATTTTTACGACCGCGCGAAACTGTCTTAACAAAAAAGATTACTACTGAAAAACAACTATAGCTACATTCAAATAAAAAATATGCTCAAAAGACTCAAAGAATTCAAAATTTTATTTTGTTAAAACAAAATTAGTCAATTTAAAAATAAAGGCTGAAAATAAAGCTTTAAAATGGAAATATCAAAAAAATCGTATTTATTTTTTATTTCGAGTTTTACAAGAAAAGTATTATACTTATTGGAGACAATTATTTTATATTATAATAGTACATGATATTCCCTTTAAAATGACACCAATATCAATAATATCTTATATACTCAATATACTTAAGTATATAATTCAAAAAAAATCCAAAATTTTAGAATCCTGTTTTTACAAGCAAATTTCTACATTCATTTCGAAACATAACCTACTGAGTATATATCAGTCTGGGTTTCACCCTGGTCATAGTACCAGTACTGCTTTAATTAACGTCACAGACGATATTAGAAACGGTATGGAAGAAAAAAAAGTAACAGTACTGGTACTAGTTGATTTCTCAAATGCTTTCAACACAGTTGATCATGAAATCCTTGTATCCATACTGTCTCATCTAAATTTTGGCCCTACAGCATTGGAATGGTTTGCATCTTATCTTCGCGGTCGACAGCAGTCAGTTTGTGTGGGGCAAATAACCTCAGCTTGGGCTGATGTGGAAGCTGGTGTACCGCAAGGCGGTATTCTTTCTCCTATAATTTTTTCTATTTTTATAAACTTTATTACCTCCATCTTCGATTGCTCGTACCATCTGTATGCCGATGACCTTCAGCTATACGTGCAAGCTGAAATTGGGGATATCCATAATGGGATTAAAAAATTAAATAACAACTTACAAGCTATCAAGGATTGGTCTACTCGTTATGGAGTATTGGTCAATCCTTCAAAATGCCAAGCTATACTGGTGGGTAGCTCAAGAATGCTAGCCAAGATTAATCTTGCAGACATACCCCCTATCTACTACAATGGGATTACAATACCGTTCAGTAAGTCTGTAAAAAATCTTGGCCTACACATTGACAGCACGCTGAATTGGAGAACTCAGGTTACTGAAGTCAGTCGTAAAATCACTGCTACGTTACGTACTCTGTATCGTTTAAAACATTTTCTCCCCACAAAGTCTAAGATCATGCTTGTCCAATCACTCATATTACCCATAATTGATTATGCAGATGTGTGTTACCCGGATCTGTCAAAGGATAGGGTTCTACGTTCGTCTTTTAACAACAAAATATGTATTCCAGTTCACTTCACCGAGTTCAATGGTAACTCCTTTACAGTTCAGGCTGCACGCCTTTGGAACTCCTTGCCTGACGACATCAGAAAAGCTCCCAATAAGTTTGCTTTTAAAAAGTTGGTGCGTAATCATCTGTTAAAGACAACGCTTCTTAGATGAATCATCCATGTCATTTATATTTTAGACGTATATATTTTATAGTTATTTATATGTATTATTTGTATGTTGGTATAAATATATGTATGCTTATGTATGTACGTATATATTTGTAAATATGTATAAATAGGATATATTTTTATAGTTTATTTATTGTATATATTAGTAAAATGTATATATAACGTAATTAATTATAAATTTCTATTTTGTTTTTATTTTATATTGCTACTTCAAATTCTCACCACTCCATGGGTTGACTGATAGAGAATGCCACAAGGCATTAAGTCCGCCCTTTGTATTCTTTTAGATTAAGGAATGCAATAAAGAATAAATAAATAAATAAAATAATGTTTACCCAATATAAATTTTAATAAATAAGTAAATAAATGAAAAAAATAGGTTTTGATAATTTCTAGATACATCTCAACAGATATTTCGTTTATAAATTGCTATAAACGTGTTAATAGCGAATCATTATTTTATATTTTGCATTCATTTAACACAAAAAACTGATTAGAATACATTTTAAACAACATATAATCAATAAACGATGATCACGTATAGTGATTAAAATTTAGAGCTAAATTATTATATGTAAACATTTTGGAATTGTCGTAATGATACATATTTACTAAAGAAAATATCTTCACAATTGGTTTGATGTACAATAACATTAGAAATAACGTATAAAAACAGAAAAGTTATCACATTTTTGATCGAATTTCTCACACGTTTACATTCCACAAACAAAAATGGCGAAATTTTTTTTTTTATAGGATTGGGTGACAAACGAGCACACAGTCCACCTGATGGTAAGTGGTTACTGTGACCCATAGACATCTACATCCATCCTCAATAAAGACTCAAGATGCAGATGCGTTGTCACCCGTGAGGACTAAGATGGAATGCCTCTTTGCCAGTAAAAAGGGTCTCCGGTTCTCTACACTCACCATACGAAACACAGCAGCGTTAAGCTGCTATTTTACGCTGGTCTTCTGTGAGAGCGTGGTCCTTCCCCGGTCGAGCCGACCTATTCGTGCTACAACCATAATATAGCTGCAGCATGGCTCTACCAAAGCGTACCATGGCGAAATTTAATTTTAACTTTTTTTTCTAAATATTTTGTTATTATTATACAGACAAAATTAACTTTCACAAATGACAAATTTCATACAGCACCATCTATAATTTTGTACTGTATTAATAAGAGCTATCTTTTGCGCTGACCACGTATAAACCGAAAGATGTCGTTTGGTGATTAGACAGGTGAGGCAATAATTGTTTTCGGGGACTGTAGCACAGATTACTTAATAGTTGTAGTCACGGTGGACGGTTGAGTAGTTATTTGTATTACCTAATCCTTGAATGCGGTTGCAGAAAATTATTCGAAACTGCGGTTGCTATGAGTGAAAAATATATTTTGCAGTATATTATGGGCTAATCAATGTAATAAAAAGTTACATTCCAAATGAGTTTTTCAGTCGGTGAATAATTTATACGCTGCACAATGCCTCAGTGGTGTGTTCTGTTCAATTTTAGGGTTCCGTACCTCAAAAGGAAAAATCGGAACCCTTATAGGATCACTTTGTTGTCCGTCTGTCTGTCAAGACCCTTTTTCTCAGGAACACGTGGAGGTATCAAGCTGAAATGCATATCAAATACTCAAGTCTACTGTCCCTTGGAACTGTGAAAAAAATCAAACTTCTAAGCCAACGCAATCAAAAGATACAGCCGTTTATGCCGCAAATTTTCGACATTCGCAAGGGAATCAAAACCTACAGGGTACTTCCCGTGAACTCAGAATCTTGAAAATTGGTACGAAGCAACTTATAGCACAGATAAAAGAAAAATTGCGAAAAGCATAAATTTTTAGTTACATCATATAATAAAAATATTTTTAATAATTTTAAACTTATATACCTGCGGATTTGTACTGAACCCTCAGTGCGCGAGTCCGACTCGCACATGGCCGGTATTTTTTATTTTTGGAATATGCGTAGTTTGATTTATCCATTTCTGATATAGTTAATATAAAATAAAACTAATATTTCAGAAAAATGCATTTGTATAAACACTTTTCTAACAATTTTACTTCCTCGTCATAAACTCTGTCAATTATTTCAATAAATTCATTCGGACAAAGGGTTGATCTATGTTATCTTTTCATTTTCAGTAAATCATTCCAACAATTAAAGGAAGAAATACATAGTCTGTACTATTCTTTTAACGTTACATCTCTATATAGGAAGATCCTAATTGACTGCCTCATATTTCATTAAATCAACATACATTCCAAATAGCTAGACTTAGAAATATGAAATTTAGACTGAAATTGTCTTTTATGACTTAAGCATCCACTAAGAAAGGATTTTGGAAAGATGAAGCCCTAAGAGCGTGAAATTGCATGTTACAGTTTGTATGAACCTATTTACCTTACGGAGCGATTAACTCAAAACTTATTAAGGATGCTACGATTTTTCAAAACAACCCCTTACGGGGAGACAAGAGGCTGTTCAATTTGAAAGAAGAAAAAATAATTATTAATTTAAAAACGACTCAGCAGTCCTCTCCCAAGGAGGGGCCGCAATGGGGCGGCCGATGCTGGTGGAGTTGCGGATGTGTGCGAAAGCGTTCCCATGGCCCTACCAATATGTGACGAAGATGGAGCTTCACAGGGTTTTAGTCGGTACAAGTCTGACATACCCGTCCTAGTTCCGGGTAGCGGCTACGCGGGCATTTCCCTTCCCCTTGTAAAAAAAGGCCTCTCGTCGTGCTACCCCGGTCGAGCAGACTTATTCACGCTACAACCACAATATAGCTGCAGCATGGCTCTACCACGTATGACATAGAGATAATAAGTGCGTACGTACCTTTCACGATGTTTACCTTCACCGCCGAGCACGTGTTAAATCAGCACTTAAAATTGTAATTGTGCTGTTGTAATTCCTTAGTACTATGTAATTATATTATATTTTAATGCATCGGGACAAGATTATAATGCACGAGTGTGTACACAAGCATAACTCCCTAGTCCCTCACTCTCATGGTCCGATGGGACAGCAAACCAATACGAATGAAGCGAGATCGGACGTAGGACCAATGGCGAAATTCGGGAGTGAATTTTAGATTACGTTATAGCAACCTTCGCTTAGTAAAAATGAAACGAATTTTTTCGTTTCTTTCTTCTTAATAAAGTAAAAACAGATAAAAGTTTAGTATGGAGTGTGTCTCCGCTCTTGTTGAAATCACAGCTGCGTTTGAGAATACTGTGATTTCTAAAAATGGTCTAAAAATTATTTAGAGTCAATATTTACTTTCGGGAGTTCGCGAAGTTGTGTTTTTTTTTTAAACCAGCCTCAAGCAAAAACATTTTTCGTGTTGTATTTTTTTCAGACTGGAAAAAATCAAAACCGCCCGTTCTTCTTTTGCAAATGAGTTTATTGTATTTACCACGATTTAGTGGCGTGGTAGAGCCACATGAGTAAAGAAATCGTACCGTACATAGGCAAAGCTTCATACAACCGCGCTGGGATAAATACACTACTACACGCCAGAGGCGCGTGTGTGCGTGAGCACTGGCGGCTCGTCACGTACAGAGATAAACTGCTTTAAACCGGCTCGGCCAGTGCTCAAACTCAGGGTTGTGTAAAACATAAATGTCAAATTTTCTTTTTTAAAGAATAATTCGTATCAAATGAAATATAAAAAAGTGTAAATATGGTTTACGTAGATTTTGTTAAGGATTATGGGGATAATTAAAGATATAATACTTTGAACATAAAACGTGCTTTTTATTAACCTCAAAACAACAACATGGAGAGCCTATAACATCATATTGAACCTTCCTTCATAACAGACACAGTGTTGACAACCGACGCAGTGTTGCCATTAAAATACAATATTATATAAATCATTGTTAATTAACACCTCCCCCCAATGATTTATATTAACAGAACTAACATTACAATAATTTCAAACATTACAATGAATAAGTAAGAACTAACAATACAATGATTTGTATGAACAGAACTAACAAACTAAAAATACACAATGCGAACTAAACTCTATTCCAATCCTAATTTATGTACAAAATAATTATGAGAGGTTTTATTTAATGGTTTCGTAAAAATATCAGCTATTTGTTGCTTTGTAGGTATATACATAACACAAATTTCCTTACATTCTATTTTATGTTTAATAAAGTTGTATTTTATGTCCACGTTTCATTCTTTTTTGATCAGGATTACATACAGAAAATATTGTACTTTTATTGTCTTCATATATGGTAGTGGTATTACAACTAACGTCTAACTCATTTAATAATTTCCTAATCCAACAAGCCTCCAGAGCGGCTTCATTGAGGGAGTATAACTCTGCCTCAGTAGTGCTTAAAGCTACAGTGCTCTGCTTTTTGCAACGCCAAATAACACTGTTATTAAATACTTTAAATACATAACCAGTTATAGATTTCCTATCTTTATCTACAGCAAAACTAGCATCAGCATATCCAACTAGTGGTTCGGAATTACAATTCTTATTATACTTTAAATTATAATTAATGGTACCTTTAATGTATCTTAAAATCCTTTTCAAGCATTGCCATAACCTTTCTGATGGTCTAGATTGATATCTTGCTAAATATGAAACAGCAGCACACAAATCAGGTCTTGAACCTACTACAGCATACATTAAAGAACCTATACAAGCTCTGCATTTATGCTCTAAAGAGTAATCAACCGTACAATCATCAAGATTAACATTAACTTCCATGGGTGATTCACTAGCATTTGCATCAGACATACCAAACTTTGTCAATATAGATTTTAAATACTCTTTATGGTTAATATAAAAACAGTCACTATCTTGAATAATATTAATACCCAGATACTTTAAATTTTTAGATCCTAGATCTTTCATTTTAAATTCTGTGCTTAAAATTTCTTTAACATTATTTATCCTTGAATTGTCTTCACCTAAAACTAATAAATCATCCACATACAACAAAATGTAAATACCATCCTTAAAATATAAACAATAATCACTTTCTGCTCTTTGAAACCCTTTAATTTTCATAAAATCATAAAATTTATTGTACCAATTTTTTGAAGATTTTTTAAGACCGTAAAGTGATTTTTTTTAATTTCAAGACATAATTTGTATTTATATTTACACCAGGTGGGGGCTTTAAGTATACAACATCATCAATTTCACCATGAAGGAAAGCACCTTTAACATCCATTTGATGAATTAAATAGTTCCTTTGAACAGCTAATGATAAAAGAACTCGGAGAGTTTGTAATTTCAAAACGGGAGAATAAATTTCGGTAAAACTACCTTCCTGTTGAAACCCCTTTGCAACTAATCTAGCTTTATATACATTACCCGCCTTTTTTGTAAAAATCCATCTACAATCAATTAACTTAGCATCGTTTGATCTTTCTACAACTTCCCAAGTCTTGTTATCCTCCAAAGATTTAATTTCTTCATTTACCGCTTCATACCACCTATCTTTATCGTCATAAGAATCTATATCATTATACTTTTCTGGGACATTACCATTAGAACAAGATAAAAATGATGCCATTAATATATTACCTAAATCTGAATCATCAGTGACAAAATCTTGTAAATATTTTGGTTTAGTTTTCTTTCTTTTCTCCCTAGAATTAACATTATCTGTATCCCTTCCCTCAGGTTGTAATGACTCTAAATTATTATCAGAAGTTAAAATTTTCTCAGTACCATGGGTTTGGGTTTTATCAGAAATTAAAGGGGTTTTGGTTTTCTCAGGACTACTACCATCATTCTTCTCCTTCCCATCCGAGATAGACTCCATGTCAATACTAATCGTTTCAGGGGACTCTGAACATGTTTCTTCCCTAAACAATACGTTTCGTTCTATGCGTATCTTCCTTTCATTAGCATCCCATAATCTGTATCCCCCCGGAGCATACCCAACCATTTTCAATTTCACACCACGAGGGTCCAACTTCATTCGGAGTATTTGGGGAGTATGGGCATATGCAGGTGACCCAAATATTCTAAAATTAGACACATTAGGACGTCTTCCCTCCCACATTTCAAATGGTGTAGCATTAAGTGAAGCAGTGGGACTACGATTAGTGACATATACCGCATATCGCAGGGCCTCGCCCCAAAGCTCTTTAGGAAGCTGTGAATCTAACAGCTATGCACGCGCCTTTTCAGTCAGAGTACGATTCATTCTTTCAGCTACTCCGTTTATTTCAGGATTATATGCAGCAGTATACTGCAATACTATGCCTTTTTCATCACAAAAGGATTTAAAATTTCTAGAAATATACTCACTACCATTATCTGATTTTAACTTCAATATACCATGACCAAAATGATTACTAGCATAATTATAATAAGTATTAAAATATTCAAAAACCTCAGACTTGTCTCTTAATAAGTAAACTGCGGTGAAGTGGGTAAAATCGTCTATGAAAGTAACAAAGTGTTTATACCCGTCCCCCATAGAAGGGTTAACAGAACAAACATCGGTATGTACTAGTTCTAAGGGTTTCCTAGCCTTATACACTTTCCCATTAAAAGGAAGGCGTGTAATCTTAGCAAGTATGCATGGTTCACAATGCCTATTTTCTAAAATTTTCCTTTCCAATCAGTTAAACCATCAACCATATTTTTATTTACTAAAGTTTTCAAATTACTATAGCTTAAGTGAGAAAATCGTTTGTGCCAAATTTCTACTGAATTATTATTGGTGTCTGATTTTGCACCATAATAACAATCATTAAATATTACTTTAAATTCTACAAAATAAAGGGACCCTAGTCTATGCCCAACCATAAGCAATTCATTGGTTTGTGAGAAAACTTTAACTTCCCCTTTATTGAAGATGATCTTTAAACCATGCTTTTCCATTTTGGAAACAAATAATAAATTTTTTCTTAATTGTGGTACATAATACACATCATTTAATATAATATCAACTTTAAAATCACTTAAATAACATTTTATTGTTCCTACACCAACAGCCTCTAAATCAACGCCATTTTTGGCAGCTGAAATTTTAATTGGCTTATCTAGTTTACAATAATTAAAGAATAAACTAATGTCCTTTACAAGATGAAATGAACTACCTGAGTCAACAACCCATTTAAAACTATTTTTATTCTGCTGTTCGGTGTCAGGGCTAAAGGACATAAAACTTACAAATTTGTTACCTTCAGTATTTTCAGTGCCTGTAAAAAATGACTTTCCTCTAACTCTCCCCTGGGTCTGATGATGAGTTGCCTTACTGTCGTCTCGGCTTCCGTTGTACTTCCAGTCGCTACGTCCACGACCGTGAAGTCTCCAGTCGCCAGTCCTGTGTCGTGCCTGCTGAGTGCTCATGCACTGGGATTTTTTGTGTCCGGGGCGTCCACATCCATAACACAAGAAGATTGAAGAGTCAAGGGATTTGGTCGCTCCTCTGTTCCGTTTTTCTCTTCCCCAAGCAGTCTGTTTTTCACGAAGTCCATTTTCAATTCCTACACAGTTTCAAAAGCCGTGATAATGCCTTCATATGATTTCGGCATGGATAGGAGTAAATAGTTAACCTTTTCTTCCTCCGACAGCTCACTGCCAGCATCCCCGAGTTGTGCAAATAGCTTTTCCATGTCAATAAAATGTTCCATTAAAGGTTTCCGTTCGTCGAATTTCATATCGGACAACTCTCTTCTTATAAATAATTTAGATCGTGTACCTTTCTTCTTAAAGCTGTCTTCCATGCTTTTAATCATTTGATAAGCAGATCTGTCCTTTAAGTATTCGAGGTGACTGTCGGCGGTTGCCGCTATTATGATAGCCTGGACTTTAGCTTCCAATTGAAATTGCTTGTTATCCGTAGATTTACTGAAATCCTCCTTTTCGATCGCCTCTATTGCTCCATTATCCCGCAGGATACTTTTTAATCGAAACTCCAATGCGTTGTAATTGTCCCCCGCGAAAGGGACAATTTGATATTTTTCTTTTGACATTTTCTGTCCTTTAACACTTATTAATCCACTATAAAACTGATGGCCATACTGGGCCCATAACCCTGTTAAGGATTATGGAGATAATTAAAGATATAATACTTTGAACATGAAACGTGCTTTTTATTAACCTCAAAACAACAACATGGAGAGCCTATAACATCATATTGAACGGTTGAACCTTCTGTTACGGCCTACAGCTACCTAAATAAGAGTAGAATCTTCCAGGCCCATAGCGGAAGTCCTTACAAGCTGATATAGGTCGGGACTCCTAAGGCCAAAGTGGAAAATCTCTAATTACACTAAACAATAAGGGGTAGCGTTCTTTACTACTGCCATTCAACAGGGAGAATATTAAACGAAGCTTACTTACCTATATCCAAGGCGACTGATCCCTCAGGATTCGGTCAGGTCGCATGTGGTTGTGTAGTGCAGGGGAAATAAGGTGCTGTGATGTGTATCTGGGTGTGACTGGTGGTGATTGACCTTATTAGACCTTTGCCGTCGGCAGCAGCCCGGACGTCAGCACCACTGCAAATTGAGGTAATCTTCCGCGGCGCCATCCGCAGTCACTTTCTTCGTTCGTCACGAGGACAGTCCCTAACTTTATCGTACAATTAACTAACTTACATAAGCTACTAACTCTCGTTTGTTATAAAGCTTCACACACAAAAAGAACAGTTATTTCTAGAATATCAAAGGCCGCACTAGCTAATATTGTCGAATGCACTTATACAGATTCTGAGTCGGACACAATAAGTCCCGGGAAAGGCTATCCAACAAGGAATGCGTGTTACAAATCCTAGACAGGATATTTACTAACGCCTAAACTATTCCGCGGTTCCCGCACAAAAATTGACAGCGTGCTGACGTTAGCACAGCTGGCAGACGACTCTTTGCGCTAGCGCGCGCTCGCCACACCCAAGCTAGCCCGAAAGTCAAACCGGTATAGCACCGAGCCGCGCGCCCTCTGACGTCGATTCCGGAACCAGCGTTCGGGCGTAAACAAACCCCCGTCCCGGACATAAGGATTTAGGTCCGCGAGCAAACCGGTCAGCGGGACAGGGTCGCGACGGCAAGTTGCAAGACCTAATCTACAACCAAACTAGGCCACCGTAGGCACCCCATCAGATCTTGCAACCCTAACCAACGCCTCAAAATTACAGCCCCAACGTGGGCAAGCCGGAGGGTTGAACTGGATGCCCTTCCTGGACATCGCAGCCCATAAATAAGTCCTATTCCTAGACAGAAGGCCGACGACCTCCTTCAAACACCTATCTGTGCTCCTATGATTAGTTCCGCAATCCGACCGGATCAGGTCTGCAAACAGCGACGCGACACGAAGCGGCCCAGAGTGGCCTCCTAAGCTTCAGTGCAGAGATCACCCACAATTCCACATGAACGTCGTCTGTGGAGAGCCAAACGAAACGCACAGATAGTCCCTAGTATGAATTTTCAACAAGTAGGCCTGACCAAGCCATCCACCATATAATCATTTACTAAATAGTGCGGTAGCTGATTTCAATCTGATAATCTCCAAAACTAGCTAGCCTGTTAGACAAGTAGTCCTATGCTCATATTTAAACTAATTTTTCAAAAGCATCAATGTTCAACTACAGAATTAATTCAACCAAGTTAATCACCGATGCACATAGGTCAACTTGCAAATTAAACAAAACAATAAACGTAAGAGACAGCCCTATTTCTCATTTCAAATCAGTATCTTAGACAGTGCCTACAAATGCGAAAACCAACGGAGCAACGACTCCTTATTCCATACGGCACAAATAGGGTTACCTAATTTCAGCCTTCCTTTTCACAAAGCAAAATGATTAAACACTATCACAAAACATATACATGATTTTCCAAATAGCGCGACATTCAATTTCAATTTTCCGTGCAACAACAAACACAGTGATCAAATACATTTACAAAACATATGCAGCAGCATTCAAAGGAGTAGATCAAATTCAATTCTTTTAATTACAACCGCCACAAATATGAAAACCTCGCGGAAAACCCAAAAGCATTTTTTAATTTTAATTTAAAGAATTTCCAACTAAGTGCTCGACC